CGAGGTGGGGAAACACAAATGTACGGTATTATTTAATTAATAAAATAATATTTAATTTGTATACAATAAAATGTTATCACTGAAAAAACAGGTAATGATGTCAAAATATTGTATATACATGGAGGCTTCATGATCAAAATTTCGCCAAGATTTGGTATGTTGGTCCCTGGTGCAGCTGGGCTGCTGGGCCGCGGCTTGGTGCCTGGAATCGTAAATAGGCCGTGAAGTAAAAAGTTTGCGGAACGCTGTTTTAGAAGATTGAGTTCTGCATTAATTCAAGTTTTCAAGTTATTTAAAGAATATGATGATATTGAAAGTACCCAATTTTTTAAGGTAGCAGAAAGTTTGAGGACAAAGGTCATAAATTGAAGTTGGCAAAAGGCTTTGCTAGACTAAGAGTCCATTAGAAATTTTTGTCAATTTACATTGTTAATTTATGGAATTATCTGCCAAAGAATATTATTGAGTCTGACACAATGAATATATTCAAATCTCGATTGGAAGTGCATTGGCGTCGTCACCCGTTGAAGTACACTGCCTGCGACCGATTCGAGGATTGTCATGTACAGAGGGACACACAAGCCTAAGGACTTAATACGTCTCAATAGCAATGTAGAATAATAATAAAATATTAGGTTTAAAAATGATGATTATGATAAGATTATGATTATGTTTAAGCTGCAGGCTCTGGAGGAAATGAAATTATATAGCTTTCTTTTTTCTCAGTTTTTAAATATTCAAAAATGTGTCTCATTAACTGTTCTCAAGGTTTTCGTTAAACAGCCTTTCTGAGTCTTAAAAAAATCAGTTGTACAACTTATCAATTGTGTTGTTCACCTGGAGCCTGGCTTTATTGATATTGATATTGATGAAGATGAGGATGATGATAATGCTGATGATAATTGTATTGATGATTGTGTATTCAGTATCAGGCTGTCTGAAGTGTAAACATGCTGTAATATTACAGCCAGTCACAGCTAGACAATTGGTTCTGCATTTGTAAATTTTCAACAACATTAATGCCTTTTGTTCGGCTAACAAAATTAAGGTGAACACAAGAATGACTCACTTCAAGGTAACTTACAGACACTGCTCAGACGTTCCCATGGCTTCAATTGTGTTTCACAGACCTATCCCACACATCCATTCTTTCAACCTCATTTTGAGCGTGTTCACCATCAGGTTGAAGGTCAATAGTCAGGTGACCCTTCCCCGCTGCTTTAGAACTAAAGTAGATGCAAATAATATAGAGAAATTGCTCAATGTTTGTACTATATGCAGTGTGCTACTTCATCTTTACTATATCTGTTTTTTTTTTGCCATTATAATGTTTTTTACACATTTTTTTCCATGTTCATTTTCATGTTTATTTATGAATGAATTAAAATAATTAAATAAATAAATAATAAAATAATAATAATAAAAAATAATAAATAAAATAAAAAAAAAAAATAATAATAATAAAAAATAATAAATAATTTAAAAAAGATATATAAACAAACAAAATGAAATGCAAGCTTGGTAAACTTCTCTATTAAGAGAGTAGTGTCAGGCACTGCTGGTTAAATCTGATCAAAAAACCATGTGCTATGTTTACCCACACAGCTTTCTGTGTTGCTCATTCAATCAGATTGTTTCTTTTAAATACGGTTTTAAAGAAGATTTAAAAATTTAAAAATAAAGAACAGTAATTTAAGAATAATATCCATTTAATGCTCATTTGAAAATAAGAATCTACTTTTGAGAATAAAAAAAATCTGGCTTATAAAACATTAATATAATATAATTATTTAAAAAATAAATAAAAATAAGGATAATAATAGTAATATTAAAAACATATCCTTTAATGCTAATTTCAAAATAGGAATCTATTTAATGCATGTGTTAGTAAGTGTTTTAAAAAATTGCACTCACAAGATTGGCGGATCTCATAGGGGAAATAATTCCATAACTTTGGACCAATCACAGAAAAAGCACTTTCACTAAAATCTCTTTTTGTAATGGGAACTACAAGTCGTAGGGGATCATCAGAAGACCTCAGACCTACACGACCAGGCTGAAACTTTTTAAGCATATTTTGAATATATATGTTGGGCCTATTTTATGAACACTATTGTACACATGCAGTAAGTCTATTCTCTGCTGGACTGGCAACCAGTAAAGTTCTCATAGCAATGACGAATTTTTTTGCGCGCCGATAAACCAGCC